AACAAAAACCAAAAAAAAACCACAAAACACAAAAAACAACCCAAACAAACAAACCCCCAAAAAAACACAAAAAAAAAAAAACCCAAAAAAAACAAAAAACCACACCACACCCAAAAAAAACAACCACAAACACAAAAAACTACACAACCCAAACCCCCACCAAAAAAAAAAACCAAAAAACAACAAAAAAAAACACACACCAAAAAAACACAAACAAAAAACACAACACAAAAAAAAAAACACAAAACAAAAAAAAAAAAACCCCCACCACAACCCAACCACCACAAACACACACAAAAAAAAACAACCAAACCCAACCAACAAAAAAACAACAAAAAAAAAAAACCCAAAACAAAAAAAACAAAACCAAACACAAAACACACAAAACCCCAAAAAAAAAAAAACCCACAACAAACAAACACACACAAAATCCCATACAAACCAAAAAACCACACCCCAAACCACCAAAAAAAAACAAAAAAAAAAAATTCCAAAAAAAAAAAAACCAAAACCAACACCAAAACTTTTCCAACAAAAAACACACAAAAAAAAAACCAAAAAAAAAATAAACCACACACCAAAAAAAAAACCCCAAAAAAAAAAAAAAAAAAACCAAAGTAAAAAAAAAAACACCCCCAAAAAAAAAAAAAAAATGTCCCAAAAAAAACCAAAAAACAAAAAAACCAAAAAAAAAAAAAAAAAAAAAAAAAAAAAAAAACAAACCAAAAACAAAAAAACCCCACCACCAACCCCCCCCCCAAAAAAAAAACCCCCCAAAACAAAAAACCAAATCCCCCCCCCCCACAAAAAAAACACAACAAAAAAAAAAAACAAAAAAAAAAAAAAAACCCCCCCCAAAAAAAAACACCCCAAAAAAAACCAAAAAAAAAAAAAAAACCAAAAAAAAAAATCAAAAAAAAAAATGTCCCCAAACCAACCAAAAAAAAAAAAAACAGCCAAAAAAAAAAAAAAACCCAAAAACCAAAAAAACAAACAAACCCAAAAAACCCAAAAACCAAAAAAAAAAAAAAAACAAAAAAAAAAAAAACCCAAACCAACCCCAACCCACAAAAACCCCAACCAAAAAACAAAAAAAAAACCCCCCCCAAACACCCCACCCCAAAAACCCCCCAACACACCCAAAAAAAAAAAACAAAACACCAAACACAAAAAAAAAAAAAACCAAACACAACCAAAACATACCCCACCACCCAAACCCACAAAACCCCAAACAAAACACAAAACAAAAAAACACAACCCTACCCACACACACACAAAAACAAAAACAAAACACCAAAACAAACCATAAAAAAACAAACAAAACACCACACAAACAAACACACAAAAAACAAAAAAAAAAACAACACACCACACATTCCATACACACACAACACTTCATTCCACAACATACACACACACACAACCACACAAACACAACACACACACACACACACACAAATCACAAAAAAACACAAACCCCCAAACCATACATAAAACACACAACATACCAACCCCCACACATACACACAATACAACAAACAGTATTCCAAACACAAACACATTACAAACAAAAAAAATCCAACATAAATACCCAACAAATACAAAATTCCAAAAAAACACACATACAAAAAAATCACAACAAACACAACACAACACACAAAACACAACATACAGTATTCCATACATACACACATACAGTATTCCATACATACACACACACATAATACAGTATTCCATACATACACACATACAGTATTCCATACATACACACATAACAGTATCCCATACATACATACATACAGTATTCCATACACACACACATACAGTATCCCATACATACATACATACACACACATACATATGGCTCACCATTGAGGAGTCCTAGAACATGTCCTGTGGCATTCCATCGCCATCTAATGGTGATAATCCATAACACAAGCATTATTTCCTGATATAAAATCCGCTCATACTAGGGTTGGTTTACTAAAGGCAAGGAGGCTGTTCACATTGCAGGGAAGTCAGACATTGTACGGGATTTATTGAACATGTTGAAAGAATACCCAATCATGTGCAAGGAAAAAAAAATAACTCTACTAGATTGCAAGCTCTTAAGAGCCGGGACCTGGTAATCCACTTGTATTGTATTGTGACTGCAATGTGTCCCTGTACATTGTAAAGTGCTGAGCACACTGTATACATCCTGTATTATAAAATAACAACTTTTTATTGCTTGCATATGGCTGGAAGCTGGTCTGCTATTAGAAACTACGGGGCCCCATACAGCCAACCTGACTGCAGCTCCCCCCCCAAAAAAAAAAAAACACAATTTACTATGATTTGGTTATGAATGAACATTGCAAGTGATCAGTACCACTCACTCATTGTGTTCATTCAGGGAAGAAAGGGCAGGTAAATGTGACATATATTTACTGGGCAATTCCCTCTCTCTCCATCCTGAAGGATCCTATTGTGTGCTTGCAGCTGCTGGTGGGAAGTAGAGGAGGGAAGCCAGCAGCATTGCGTGGGGTGGGGGGCACACAGGGGGGCCTCGGCAGCAGAGGGGAAACGTATGGTGCACAGGGAGGGTGATGGGTGCAGTGGGAGAGGGGGCAATTACTGGAACCGATCCCCTGTATGGTTCTATCTGCAGCCGCTGAAAGCCAGCAGGAGGGGGAGGAGAAGAAGCCAGATTTCAGCGGCTGCAGACAGAGCTATACAGGCAGTGGTGTATTTAGGTTTTGTGCTGCCATTGGCAACAAAAAAATCGGACGCCCCCCCACCCCTCCCCAGCGGAGAGAGCCTGACACCACAGACAGAGAAAAAGATACTCACCTTCACAGCTCTGGCCATCCCCAGGAATGACAATCGTGCTCTGCATACACCATCAAGAAGCCCGCAGCCTCTCTTGGATTCAACATGGTCCCCATACTGCATATGTCCCTTCTTCTAGGGAGCAGTGTTGTCCCCCTATAAAATGCCGCCCTAGGCAAATGCCTTGTGATAAATATGCCTCTGCATACAGGGGATCAGTTCCAGTAATTGTCCCCCTTCCCCCTGCTGTGCCGATCACCCTCCCTCCCCACATCCGAATCACCCTGCTGTGTGGGCCCCCTTGCTGGCCTGGGCCCTGTACAGGAGGAATGGTGGTGCCCCCTTCTCCATGGCTCTGTCTGGAAGATGAAAGTCAACAGAGCTTCCCCACATTCACTGTTCTGGGCCAAATTCCCTGCAAAGCACAACTTCCCTTGCTATGTGAACAGTCTACTTGCCTGTCATTCACACTTATGCGTCTCCAAAGTTGCACGACTTTGGAGTGCTACTTTGATGCAACTTTGGACAGGTTCGACTTGGATGCTACTTTGGCTTTGACCAAAGATAACGGACAACTATTGCAAACTATCGAATATATAAGAGTCAGGTGCGACTTTCATGCAACGTTTGAGGGTTAACATTGAAGTCCATGAACCTCAACTTGCATGAAACTCAGACCAAAGTAGCTCACGAAGGTTCATTTCACACTTATGAGACCTGTCATGCAACTTTGGGGTCCAAAGTGGCATGACAAGTCGCCCCCCATGTTTCCCAAAAGGTACAGTTCGTATCTGTGCGACTTTAAGGTAGTTCCTGCACTACTTTGGTCTGGCTTTCATGCTAGTTGAGGGCTACAGACTTCAGGCTCCATTCACACTTATGCAACTTGTATGACAAGTCACCCCCCTCATGTTTCCCAATGGGTACCATTCATGTCTGTGCGACTTCAGAGTAGTTCCTGCACTTTTTTGGTACAACTTTCATGCGACTTGAGGGCCATAGACTTCAATGTAAACCCTCCAAAGTTGCATGAAAGTCACACCTGAATGTTGTACATGTGACTTGTGTGTGACCTTGTACAGCAGAAACAATTATCCTTGATCAAAGCCACAGTTGCACCGAAGTTGCACTCATCCAAAGTCGCATCAAAGTCACCCCTAAGTCGCACTGTAAAGTCGCAATGAAAATTGCACGATTTTGAAGTTGCTCAAGTGTGATTAGAGTCTCAATTAAAACTCTCCAAAGTTGCATGAAAGTCGCACCTGAATGTTGTACATGTGACTTGTGTGCGACTTTGTACAGCAGAAACTATTATTCTTGGTCAAAGCCAAAAGTTGCACTCCTCCAAAGTCGCATTAAAGTTGCATCAAAATCGCACTGTAAAGTCGCAATGAAAATTGCACGATTTTGAAATCATGAATGGAGCCTAGATATGAACGGTACTCACTGGAAAACAAGGGGTGCGACTTGTTATGCGACTTTAGTGTCCAAAGTCGCACAAGTGTGAATGAAGCCGGAATCGAACCCATGGACCAGGAGGCTGTGCTGTGGGTGAGGAGTCTTACAATTTAGATTATGGCATTTCATTGCCATCTAGTGGTGACATATCATAATACAGCCATTGTGTTCATGATAAAAATCCGACATATTAGGATTGCTGTACAAAGGAGCTGTGGCAGAGAGGTCGTGTAAAGTGAATGTGAGGAAATTTCACTTTGCAATGAATACCTAAATCAGGTGCAAGAAAAAAAAAAAAAAGCAAAAAACTGTATTTTTGCTTGCTCATGATTGGACTATGGTGGCTTCACCTCATTCATTTCTAAAGTGCAACTACCCTTGCAAAGAGAACTATTTGCCTTTAGTAAATCCACCCCGATGTCTCTATGGATTCCAAACCCTAATCCATAGTGGCCCTGGTTTCCATACACTGCACTGACAATGGCCAAGAAAGTCTGAAACAGCTGTATGCTATTTGGAATCAATGGGTAAGGGCCAGGTCACAGCATGCAGTCCAGTGCGTTTTTGTTTCTGTATCAAAAACTCATTAATAGTAAGTGACATGGTTTCCAATGGCATAGTTCACACCAGTGCGGTCAGTACATGATTGCCGTACAATGACCCCCCCCCCCTCCAAAGGTCTGCAGTCTGTGGTCATCTCCTGTACCGTGTCCGCAGTCTGTGGTCATCTCCTGTACCGTGTCCGCAGTCTGTGGTCATCTCCTGTACCGTGTCCGCAGTCTGTGGTCATCTCCTGTACCGTGTCCGCAGTCTCTGGTCATCTCCTGTACCGTGTCGGCAGTCTCTGGTCATCTCCTGTACCGTGTCGGCAGTCTCTGGTCATCTCCTGTACCGTGTCGGCAGTCTCTGGTCCTGTACCGTGTCCGCAGTCTCTGGTCATCTCCTGTACCGTGTGTCCGCAGTCTCTGGTCATCTCCTGTACTACGTGTCCGCAGTCTCTGGTCATCTCCTGTACCGTGTCCGCAGTCTCTGGTCATCTCCTGTACCGTGTCCGCAGTCTCTGGTCATCCCCTGTACCGTGTCCGCAGTCTCTGGTCATCCCCTGTACCGTGTCGGCAGTCTCTGGTCATCCCCTGTACCGTGTCGGCAGTCTCTGGTCATCCCCTGTACCGTGTCGGCTCTGGTCATCCCCTGTACCGTGTCGCAGTCTCTGGTCATCCCCTGTACCGTGTCGGCAGTCTCTGGTCATCTCCTGTACCGTGTCCGCAGTCTCTGGTCATCTCCTCTACCGTGTCTCTCTGGTCATCTCTGTACTGTGTCCGCAGTCTCTGGTCATCTCCTGTACCTGGTCCGCAGTCTCTGGTCATCTCCTGTACTATGTCCGCAGTCTCTGGTCATCTCCTGTACTATGTCTGCAGTTCATTGGTTTAGAATATTTTTTTCCTTGATTTCCACCTCTAAAATCTAGGTGCGTCTTGGAGCCAAAAATACGGTAATTTACCATGTTGTATTTTTGGAGGAACAGTGTTGTTACCCTAGGCCACGTGTGTCAACCACAAGGACCGAGGGCCGAATTTGGCCCATCAGGCAGTTCATGTGGCCTTCACACCTGTGCTGCAGCGGCAGCACCCCCCTCGTCTCCACCACCACCTTGTTTCAGCAGTCGGAAGTAGAGAGGACAAAACTCCTCCGCCAGATCCTGCGTTTCTCTGTGTAGCCATGGAGAGGCTCATCTCTGCCTCTACCCCCCCCTTTCCACATCACAGCAGTCAACAGCAAAGAGGAGGACATAACTCCTCTTACAGATCCTGCACCTCTCTGTGCCACCACAGCATTCCCTAGTCTCAGCATTCAACAGATTCCGCCAGCTGACTCCAGCCCTCCTCTGGTCCTCTTCCAGACTCTGCAGGTTCTGCTTCCCATCTCTGCCCCCAGCTTCTGTCAGGCAGCAGCACAAGGTATGGGGGGAGTGCATTATGATGTAAGGGGGGGGGGGGTCTTGACTTTTAATGGTGGGGGCTCCTGACATCTAATGTAAGGGGAGGGGTTGTTCTGGAATCTAATCTTCTGATTTAGATAGCACCTCCTCCGCTCTTCATTGCCATAGCATAGGGCGGAGGTGTTCTGTAGTTCACTGACCTTAAAGCTGCAATATATTACATTTTTGTTCTTGGGTTTTAGGTATTCTTTAATTCCCTCAGCACTGTGCTAGGGAATGTGTCCAAGAATGGGATGAAATGCAATTATAATTACCAAACAGAATATTTATTAATCTGAGGATTTTCAGCAGAATGAAATAACTTTGCCAAAAATTCCAGAGGAGAGAAATCCAATGGTCTGGTGCCAGGCATCTGATTACATGACTAACCTGGAGAAGATGGAAATCCGTTGGCTCCGGTCGGGTTTTGCATCCACATCATCACCAATTTCCTCTCCCGCCGCCTCTTCCCCTCTAATTGTGGACTCAGGAACCAGATTGTCTTCATCTATTTCTTCCATCTAAGAAGGAGAGACAAAGGATGAAGGACACAGAACAATGCTATTATGTGGTGTAGGGAATTCACTATAGCAGTGGTCCCCAAACTGCAGCCCGGGAGCCATATGTGGCCCTTTGCTTGCTTTTATCTGGCCCTTGGGCCACTATTTCATCCCCTGATACCAGCAATGGGGCACCATTCCTCCCGCTGACACCAGCAATGGGGCACCATTCCTCCCGCTGACAACAGCAATGGGGCACCATTCCTCCCGCTGACACCAGCAATGGGGCACCATTCCTCCCGCTGACACCAGCAATGGGGCACCATTCCTCCCGCTGACACCAGCAATGGGGCACCATTCCTCCCGCTGACACCAGCAATGGGGCACCATTCCTCCCGCTGACACCAGCAATGGGGCACCATTCCTCCCGCTGACACCAGCAATGGGGCACCATTCCTCCCGCTGACACCAGCAATGGGGCACCATTCCTCCCGCTGACACCAGCAATGGGGCACCATTCCTCCCGCTGACACCAGCAATGGGGCACCATTCCTCCCGCTGACACCAGCAATGGGGCACCATTCCTCCCGCTGACACCAGCAATGGGGCACCATTCCTCCCGCTGACACCAGCAATGGGGCACCATTCCTCCCGCTGACACCAGCAATGGGGCACCATTCCTCCCGCTGACACCAGCAATGGGGCACCATTCCTCCCGCTGATACCAGCAATGGGGCACCATTCCTCCCGCTGACACCAGCAATGGGGCACCATTCCTCCCGCTGACACCAGCAATGGGGCACCATTCCTCCCGCTGACACCAGCAATGAGGCACCATTCCTCCCGCTGACACCAGCAATGGGGCACCATTCCTCCCGCTGACACCAGCAATGGGGGCACCATTCCTCCCGCTGACACCAGCAATGGGGCACCATTCCTCCCGCTGACACCAGCAATGGGGCACCATTCCTCCCGCTGACACCAGCAATGGGGCACCATTCCTCCCGCTGACACCAGCAATGGGGCACCATTCCTCCCGCTGACACCAGCAATGGGGCACCATTCCTCCCGCTGACACCAGCAATGGGGCACCATTCCTCCCGCTGACACCAGCAATGGGGCACCATTCCTCCCGCTGACACCAGCAATGGGGCACCATTCCTCCCGCTGACACCAGCAATGGGGCACCATTCCTCCCGCTGACACCAGCAATGGGGCACCATTCCTCCCGCTGACACCAGCAATGGGGCACCATTCCTCCCGCTGACACCAGCAATGGGGCACCATTCCTCCCGCTGACACCAGCAATGGGGCACCATTCCTCCCGCTGACACCAGCAATGGGGCACCATTCCTCCCGCTGACACCAGCAATGGGGCACCATTCCTCCCGCTGACACCAGCAATGGGGCACCATTCCTCCCGCTGACACCAGCAATGGGGCACCATTCCTCCCGCTGACACCAAAGAAGGGTCCCCATAACATCAATGATGGGGACAATTCCTCCCAAGGGCTCCAATAATGGGGCATGGCTTATTCCCACTGACGTCGGGATCTTTTCAATTCCCAACGGCCACTCTGCCCCCCACCTAAAGTCTGAAGGACAGTAAACTGGCCCTTTGTTTAGAAAGTTTGGAGACCCCTGAGCTATAGCATAGAGCTTTCAAGGACGCAACTACTTCAGTCTCCTGGCTGTCACTTTGCAGCAGTGCTCCCCTGGCTGCCAGGATTGGACCCCTTGTCTCCATCCTCCAAAACAGAACTCAAACTCTTGAGTGGATGTTGAGCTGCTTTTTTACTGCTCCCCTTTTAAGCTGCAAAGTCAGCCAGACAGAGATGTACACATGCTGCAGCCACAAGGCATCGCTTTGCTGTCAAAATAGTACCCCTCTCGTGTTCAATATCAAGCACAATCCATTCAAGTGAAGAATGTAAAGTGAAGACCCACTCAAGTAAGTCACCTCTGTGCTAGAGGGTGTTGTCATGTGACTCGAAGAGAGACACCAATCATCCAAATCATCCCAGAGTCCGATGTGTTGTGTGTATATCGCTCATTATGTCAGTATACATTGGGTATCATCAGGGCTTCTCCGACAATAGGTGCTGGAACTCTCCTGTCCAAGTCACCCCTTGTATCCACCCCCTACCCACCTTGGTTCCGCCCCCTCCCAGTACCACCCTTTTAGAGAATACAAAACCAAGTATCATTTTGTGGTGCTAAGCAACTTGTATGGAATTTGTTAATAACAAGAAAAGCAGTAAAAAAATAGACCCCCCAGCAACAATAGATCCCCCCAACAACAGATTTCCCCTCAGCCATCAACAGACCCTCCAGCAATCAGCAATCAGCAATAATAGACCCCGCCTCTCAACGGTAGATCCATCCCTTTAACAACTGACCCATCTACAACAATAGATCCCCCACCAGCATCAATAGACCTCTTCAGAAAATGAGCCCCCACAACAATAGCTCCCCAGCAGCTAACATCAACAGACCATCCAGCACACCCCAGCATCCCTTGCCATTACATACATTCAGCGCTGGAGGTTCCCAGAACTACATTCCCTGCGTTCGTGCTGAAAAAAGGCCTATTTTTTAATTTATTTTTTTTTTTAATTATAAAACGACAGATAAATTGCCCACGTCATTCAAATGAGAAAGCTCTCCCTGCAATACTTACCTTCTCTTGTTGCTTCGTGATCCAGCACCAGTCGCCTTTGGGGTTGAATAATGAGTGGTGTCACTCGGCCCATTTCTTTTCAGCCCAGGGTGTCAAAGACAGGCCCCTTAGGGGTGTGTTATCAAGCCTCCCTGCACTTTACCCCTTCTCACGCAGCCCCGTTGTCCCTTTAAATGGGATGGACTTCCCAATAGCATTACTGCTGTGATTGGCTGTCACAGTGGTCATGTGATTGGGAGCCTATCCCACCAGCTCCCAATCATGGCTAGAGACCAATTGATAATATACAGTGTGTGTTCTCTGTACTGTGCCACTTCTTAGTATGTTATCTAGATAAACTATATCCCCCCCCCCCCCCCCCTCGGGGTGGGACTTTTAACCCTTTCGCTGCCAGAGCCAATTTTTTGCACACCTGTTTAAAAAATCATTTTAGGCCTGAAGATTACACAAACCCCCCAAAACATTCTATATTTTCTGAAAGCAGACACCCTAGAAAATAAAATAGTGGTAGTTCTAATTTTTTAGGTCAAACGATACTATTGCAAACTTTCAGTAAGAGAAAAAAATCACACTGAAGTGAATTTTAGTGCAAACAAATGCAATAAATTACTACAATATAAAAGTCAAGGTTGTGCCGAGTAAATAGATACCCAACATGCCAAACGATAATATTTATGTGTGCCTATGAAATGGGAACAAACTTCAATACCTTATCATTTCTATAGACGCTTCAAAAGCCCCTCACAGATCATCAGTTTAGCATTACGGAGGAGGTCTTGTCCTAGAATTATTGCTCTCACTCCAGCGTGTGCGGTGATATGTATTATGTGTATTGCAATCAATGTTTTCATGCGTAGGTGTCCGACATGTGAGCTTACGCTTGTTTGTGCATACATGTGG